TTGAAGTGCTGGATCCCAGCTGTGCGCATAGTGCCAGTCGCAAAACCTCCGAGGAGCGGCGCATATCCCAAATGCCCAATCTGCAGACCATCGACGATGATCTCAGTCAATCGCAGAGTTTCATCGAGCACGAAACTCTAGTCGAGCAGGCTCGATTAAATATCGATGCATTGCCAACGGCTGCAACAACCACACTGGACACAACGGTCAAATCTAAAGCCCTAGCACAAATTCAACTAACTGAGAGCAGCTCGTCAGGCTCGGTGACGGACAGCGTGTGCACAACCTATGAACAGCAGACCAAGCAGCAGACAGCGGATAAGCCGCAAAAGCTACCTACCGATGATGCCGTCATTCTACAGAATATGCTCTTGTCTGAATCTGGAGGCAGCACAACTCACGCACAGAACAACAACAACTACAACGAGGTGACTCCTGCAAATGATCAAAATGAAAGAACACATCTGAAAACAGCAGAGGATGCACATATATCCGTCATGTTTGGTGGTGCGTATTCTACTGTATATAATATAATAATTTGAAAATATTTTATGAAAACATACATATACATATATATTATTATTACGTAGAAGCATAATAGAGAATAGATAATAATCAAAAGCAATCTTAAATCGGTATTATATAATTGAAAGTGAAATATGATTAGCCCAGCAATTATCAGCAGAATCGTTTCTAACATGTTTATTATATTACAATATTTTATACCTTTGCAGCTCTTTTCCAATCCACCAGCATGCTGATGTCGAGCTCGAAAAAGCTTGTTGAAACGGAGGCAACTGCCAGCCTGATGCAGCCATATAAGTTTAACTATAGCGACTACAATGACATCGATCATCGTTTGAAACTCTATTTCTATCAGAGCAAATTCAAGGAGGCGGGTGAGCACTTTAAGTGGCTCGCCAAGGGTCGAATATACAATGAGCAAACGCAAACGATGCGCGACGGTCTGCTGGTAATCTCCACCAGCAAGTGTTACCTGATGGAAGCGTATGCACCAGCCCAGGATGATGTGGCCAAGTGGCTGCGACAGGTGATTAGCCTGCCAGTGAATCGTTTGACACGCATACGAGTTTTGCCCTGGAAACTGGGATTATCATTCACACTGCGGGACTGGGGTAACTTCCTACTAATACTGCAGGATAGTGTGCGAACGGATAATTTGCTGATGTATTTGGCAGGTGAGTTGAGTGGTTCATTTGATCAAAATAGATTATAATTAACTAATTATTCTTTTGTTTTTCTAGAAAATCCGATGTCCAAGGAGTGTGAGGTTATTCAACATCCATCGGATGTAGTGCATCAACGACTCAGCTCTGTGGTGGCTGAACCACTCAAGGTGTGTGCCCTATTGAGCGGTTGTCGCTGGACTTCGGGTCAGGAGAAACGAAACTTTGAGCTCTGCACTCTGCTCGCAACGGATTCGCAATTGTTTATTGCCGGCAGTGACAAATTCAATTGGCTGGCATCCAACGAGGAGAAGCAGCAACCAATTGAACTAAGTCTAACCCAGCCAATGAGCAATTTGGTGGAAGTAGACCGACTTTCAGATATCGAATATAATGTAAATTTCCTGGATGAAACCGAAAACAAAAGCGAAATTTGGCATTTGCAATTCGAGACTCTGGCAAATGCGGAGCAATGTCTAAATGACATTGGCAAATCATGGGAAGAGCTATTTGGCGTACCATTAAGCTACACTGGAACGTAGTATTTGTTAATTGATCAGGGACCAATTATAATGAATATCATATCGAAACAGACAATTTATATTCAACTAATCATTTTATGTGCAAATATCAAAATTGAATTGTTAGCAGATTAACCATTGAACTAACAATCGTTATATAAATATATATAGATGATAATATCTTACTATCTAGCTTCATATTTGAGCAGATGTATATATTTAAAATATAGTATTTTAGTAATGCAATCATGGACAATATGGATGTTAAGTAACTAGTTAGAAGAGATATGTAAAATTTGTTTGTGTAATATCTATTTTATATACAACTGTAAAATATGTACAGAAAATAATTCATGTAACGTATGACATAAATAGAAAATATATCAATTGCAAAGAAGACGTAATTAAAGCCAAGTGACATATATTTTATAATAACACTCACAGCTTGTGTTTATCAATTAAACATAATTCAAAACAAAAGACTATGCCATTAAGTGCCGAACCCAGCATAATTTATCCTACTATAATTTTTAGGAATTCGTTGAAAGTTATTCAATATAATATTTATTGGCTGTAATTGACTCTGAATGCAATAAAATGAAGCTTTCTGTGAATACATTCATATTCATTTATATAATCATACTCATAAATATATACAAATATCTTTTTTTTAATGAAAAATCTACGCAGAAGTTTTAAATGATAAAAGCAAAACGATTTAAGCAACTTTTTGTATCTACTGTTCGATAGATGCCGCTGCTTGTGGCAAACTGACCACAGATGGCGCCATGGGTATCAACTTTAGATACGATTACTTTTAATAACCAAAATAAGTATAAACCAAACAACGTTTCAAACCTTGTTTTTAAATTAATAGCATTAATATATAAAAGAAGAAGATCTCAACCATCTAATATCTGTTTAATGTACATTTATTAATTGTACTCGAGCGTTACATTACAATTTTAACAATCGGCGCTGCCTAGCTAAAGTAATCCTCTTTATATGGTATATATATATTTATTTATGTACAATTCCGCTGAGCAATCCCAACTAATCTATTTGTCACCCAATTGCTCGGCTATCCAATCGAGATGCTCTTCCTTATAGCGCGGATCGGCCATAATCAAAGCTGTTGACTTGGAAGTGTAGTAGTAGTAAACCGACACTGTTAAGCAATACAAAATTCGGTTTTATATGAATAGTTTTCGGGAAAGTTGTGAACTTACTTAGGCGCTGCAGCACGGTCAAGGCGTAAAGTGCCAAAGGCCATTGCTGAACGGATTCTGATGGCGACACTCGATACAGATAGATAGTCCAGGAGTGCTGCGAGGCGGACAGCAAAAAATAGGCAGTAATGCTGAACAAAAATAGCTTGCAATTGCGCAGGATAATGTGGGAGGCCCCCACCTGATAGACGCAAGTCGAATGTAGAGCCAAAGTAAAGAGCAAATACTCAATAATAATGAAAGCATCTTGAATGCTTTAACAGGATAGGAATATATAAGCAAATATATTTCGATTAAAATATATATTCTATAGGCACAAGTCTTGGCACTCACATGAAGAAGAATATTGCTGTTTGAAGCTTATCCCGCGACAGCCAGGAGCCGAAAGCATTGAAAAACAAATCGACCGCAAGCAAAGTTAGTTGCACTGCCACCAGCCATGAATAACGATGGAGCGTTAGCTTCATCTTGAGATTTTTATTAAAATTGTAAGAGAACTAAGACTTTTGTTCAATACACTGCCCACAGGTTTGTCGTTTATTTGTTTTGTTTGTGTCTATGTTGTGTCCTTCGTCCTAGTGACGTCAAATGCGCCCACGCGAGCATGCGCTAAACAAATTTTAAATCGTTAATCGATAAGCCTATCGAAGTAACGTTTGCGTGATTGTGATAAGCAAAATCAAAAGTAACAGTTGATAAATAATAAATTATACAATTTATAATTTATAATTCGATTAATAAAATAATTAATGGTTGTTTTATCCTTGATTTTGAAGCGAACAATATAAGTATAAATAAATCTATCTCTTTTATCTCTTACCTTTCACTTTGTCTTCTTCTATTTATCAAACTTCAAGTGTAGATCAAGTGCATGCGTTTTAATATGCATATTCATATACGTTCATGCACATACCACAACTATGCGACAAAATAAATATTAAAATCTTAACACAAATAATAAATACACAAATCACGATTTACATTAGGTATATTTACTTCGCAAAATACACAGCCCTAGCGAACGGGCTGCCACCGATCAACTAAGCAGAAGCTCACAAACTAAATTAGCTTAACATGTTTTTTTAATTCACAAGCAAATCTGCATTTGTATATGTGAGGTACACAGCGTAACTACTCCATCCTCACATTCCAAAAAGCTTGCTTCTTGTGAGAGCACTCTCAACTGAGAGGTGCCCTAGCTAAGTTAACGGGATCAAAAGCACTGCTGCCATTGGTGGAGGCGGCATACAATCACATATTTGCAAAAGCCACTTATGCTCTTTGACATCGCTCTCTTTAAATACTTGCTGCTGACAGGCCAAACACATATGTAACTAACAGGATCGAAAGCCTCAATTAATGAACTCTTTGCACAGAAGCTCTGTGATAGGTCGCATGCGAACTTATACGCTGTTACACTCTTATATACATACATACATACTTGTATTTCTCACTTTCAGATAATGTTAGGTATAATGTATGTGTATGTGATTATTAAGCAGGTCCTTAATTTAAGGAATATGCACAAATTATATGAGAATTTAGTCATTTATTTATTATTTTAGATATAGCGCGCATATTCAAATGGATATGGACGAGCTCGTCGTAGATCCTTTAGCTGTAGCAGGGAGTGCCTGCGAAATCTCATATAATACTGTTGATTCAATTCCGAGTAGAAGTTTGTCGGCAAGAACTGCGTCCAGCCGAGCTCGTCTTGATTGGGCTCCAGAAAGTTGTACAAAGCAGAAACCGAAGACGGTTTAGAGCCGACAATTGAAGCAGCTACTGCAACTAGAATACACAAACTCAGCAGTGTTACCACTAGCAATAGAATCTTCAATTTAGCCATTTGAAATTGGTGTTAGCCGGTCACAGATTCACCTTACACCCTTCTCCTTGGTTATCATGAACCCAACTGCAGCCCCATTTGGGTCGTCAGCAGTTTGCATTTATTGGCGTTGTGCTTTTTGCCTGTTATTGGTGTTTTGGCATTTTCTGATTTTCCAATGTGCTCAGCGTTTTTCGGCAGGGCTATAAAGCGAAGAGCCTCGTCACCGATCAACTACAGTCACTCATTCGATTCCACTTCAATCGCAAGTTAAGACAGCACCAATTATCGCCATGGCATTCAACATTGGACACATCTTTCTGGTCACGCTGCTCGCCGTGGTCTGCGCCGCAGAGACGATTCAATTGCAGCCAACGCAAGGCATCCTGATTCCCGCTCCATTGGCCGATAACATTCGTGTGTCGAGAGCTGCCTATGGTGGCTATGGAGCACCAGCTGCTGCACCCGCCTATTCCGCTCCAGCTGCTCCATCATACGGCGCACCAGCTGCACCCGCTGCGCCCGCTGCTCCTGCCTATGCTGCACCCGCCGCACCAGCTGCCCCAGCCTACGCCGCCCCAGCACCAGCACCAGCACCAGCCGCACCCGCCTCCATTCCAGCTCCACCGTGCCCCAAGAACTACCTGTTCAGCTGCCAACCCTCGCTGCAGCCCGTGCCCTGCTCGGCTCCAGCTCCCGCCTACGGCAACGCCGGTGCATACTCCCAGTACGTTCCCCAATACGCCGTGCCCTTTGTGCGCGAAATGCTATAAATGATTGATCCTGACATTCGGCTTACCTGGTCCAATAAATT